TAACGCTTGTTTTCAACTCGCACTACTATTCATGATTGAACAAAACTTTTGGCAGGTACTGTATGAAAAAGTATGTTTAATGAACAAGAGTCGAGAGTATAATGAGCTTTTTTCTCCCTATCTACGATTTTGCCAACACGCATCCAAGACATTGGAAGGGACACATCACTAGAGAAAGTAAATGAAGTATATAAAGTTTGTTTATTAATTTACTGTTAAAGGTTTTGCTATGCCACTAGTTGAGCCCGTCTAAATTTTGATACCGTTGTTGGTGGTGTATAATAGTCAGTATGGGTATCATAACTTCACCTAGGCCTAGACCATTCACACTTATAACACTTTACATATGTTAATCAAGAAAAAATTCCCATCATAACCTAATTTCATCTCATGCTTTCGTTGCCGGTCGTCTAACCACAGCCACTACCACCACATCGGATCTATGACCTTAAGATGTACTATCGAGATTTATTAGACACGGCTAACACGTTAAAAGATTGATGACTTTTAATTAAAAAATCCGATTAAATAACGACATAGTGTATATTGCAGGCAGATGTATTGACACAATTCCATCCTTTAATTGGACGGTTTGATATTCGGCTGATTCCAAAAAGGGCTGATAATTTAGGAAATAGTTGTAGCAATTTACATTCAAAACAAAACGATGTACTATGATCACTACTACAAATGGGCGCACCAAGAAAACGTAGATAATGAGCGTATATAAAGATTAGACGAAGTGACTGATTTTAGGTATCTAGGAAGTCAGGACGGAAGGAATAGTAAGGATATAAAGCAGAGGATAGCGCAAGGTCGAATTGCCTTCAGTAAAAAGAAGTTACTGCTATGCTCGCGAACGATGAATTTATAAATTCGAAAAAGGATGTTAAAGATGTATGTTTGGAGCGCGGTGCTGTACGGGTGCGAAACATGGACGGAAAAGAAAAGGTTGGAAACGTTCCAAATGTGGTGTTACTGGGGAATGCTGAGGATACCGTGGATATGAGAACAGAGGACTCTATGGAAGTCAATAAAAAATAGGCGAGACAGATTCATAGGGCACCTTCTTAGGCATGAAAGTCTAATCAGACACATATTAGAGGCAGAAACAGGAGTTAAGAGGAATAGAGTTAGACCTAGATTAGATTACTGTTTGGAAATTCTTAAGGATATGCGTACGCGTACGTGTCTAACCAGTCTTAGGACTGACGACCTTATGATGATGATCAAGTGAGTGTTTTGTCCGAATAGGTTGAATTGAGCGTAGGTAATTTATTGTAACATGTCCCATGATCGCATTTCAAATAACCTTCCCATCTGTTTTAATTAATGATATTGCTTGGTAGGTTAGCGGCAGACATTTCACGAACAAATCGAATGAATAAAATATGAGTTTCGGCTGTCCGAGTGTTCTTCAATTTTTGTTCGTTTTACGTTTTGTTTCGATGGCGATGGCGATGGCGTGAGTCCAATATTATTTGATGATATTCAAGAATAGATGATGCTTATCATCTTTTTCTTTCTTGTCGAAAGAAAGGGGTGCAGCAGCTTCATGGGTGCAAGTACCAATTACATCGGCGAGTTTTTGTTGCTCGCCGTGATTTTAAATGGATTAAAGTCACGCTTTTGATGTGGGTTTATTATAGGAAAGAAAGGAAGAACTAATTCCCATTATTTTTATACGTATTTTAATCCTTTGTCATACTTATTATACCTGTCCTAAAGGTCTTTTTTATCTTATTGAATGTGTCTGTTGTGTGAGAAGATTTCGGAATATTTTTTTGAATACTAATGAATTTGGTACACTTGGCTTATAAATGTGTAATAGTTAGGAACTGGTGGTTATTGCAAATAAAATAAATCAAATAATCAAATTAGAGAAGTGTAAATTTTGTTGAGTAAATAAAGATATTTCTTCAGAAATAAAAAGTTATAATGTTCACGCATATGTAGTACTTACGTATTTTCTCTGTAAAGAATGTTTAAACTGAAATATATTTAAAGTAAGGCAAGCACAAAATTTTGTAAAAGATTATGTCGCTTTTTGATGTTTGCATCCAATAAAATATCTCTCTGTTCGGTTAGTGTATATTAAAAAATTTTGCAATAAAATTAATAATAAATCAGCTAACTTTAAAACCCATTTTTTGCCGTAAAATAAAGAAAAATTATATTATTTGCAAAATATGGATGATTTCATAGATACCTTTTTGGTATGTAGACAATCCTGCCTGATAGCAAAACAGCATTGTAAGAAAATTTTTTAATACCTCTAAACTAAACTGATACAAATGATTTTTACAAATTATCCAAAACATTTCATCGTGTTTCATATAGAGCACATTGCAGTAACAACTTAATTTTTTTAAGTTCTTATCTCAGTGCATAATTAAACTCCTTTGACGTTAGCATGGCAAAATTAGCAGGCAAATATATAAAGCATCGGATAGCTAACCCTGTAAGCCAAAACGTAGCCGCGACCCGGAAAGCCTAAAAACTACCAGTTTGCATGATAACTTCAAATGAAGTTAAAATTTCTCTTAATATTTCTTGATATTGAGTGAGACTATAATATTCATTCTAAATCGGGCTTGAAGAAAGCATGCAAACTGGTTTTTGAGTTTCCCAAGTCGACTAATTTTTCAATTTTTTTCTGATAATTTGCAAAATATTCACAGCTAGTTTTAGACCTGATTGAGAGTCTCTACTATAATCTTCTTCGATGTAGGTATTGTCGAGCCTTAAAGATAGAAAAATGACACTATTTTAAAATAACTAGTTCCAACTTTCTTCTTAGTAGGCTACATCGTCAGCGGTTAAGTCCTTCGGGACTTTCCCCGTCTTGTAAATGTGACTAACTAGCTTAAACATACTATCTCTATCCTCTTGTCCTGCATGTTTTAGAATTTCCGCCTGTATCCCATCTACTTATAGATGTTTAAGTTTTTTTTTAATGCTACATCGAACAGCGGTTAAGTAGCGGCTAATTATTTGTGAGCTGTCTACAATTTTCCTAACTGCATTTACAATTTTTGTAAACTGATTTTCGGGTTTCCCGGGTCAGGATTAATTTTTGGCTTATACACTTAATGTACGGATAATTTGCAGCTAATTATCCGATGTTCTATATTTTGGCTTGCCAGTTTTACCATGCCAACTGTTTAGAGGTGTAAATGTTAGTTCACGTTCTTTGGGGTTGTAACTTATGTATACTTTAATTCTTTCGGAATATTTTCTGCATTGCCAGGAAGGCTAGTGAATGCACTAGCATCAGATAAATTAGTTTATTGAGGTAACGGTACAGAATTAATTCTGGAAGGATCCTTTATGATCCCCAATAATAGTTGTCAATTTTAATATGGGGTGTTTATTTTATGGGTTTTACGGTTAGATGTGCCGTTTGTTACTTATTGATGTTTTTGATTTTCGTAGGTTATAAACAACCCTCTCGGAAATATTTTGAGTTTTGGCAGTCCCGCCTTGTAAGAGTCCACTGAATAATTTAAAAAGGGTTAATAATCAATGGCGACATTTGCCACATCCTGGTTGTCATTTTCTAGTTTTAAGTTTTAGGTATAAGAAGGGAGACACAGAGCACGAAAGCAGCGGCATGGCCTAGAGGCTTAGACCATTGCTTAGCATTCGGGAGGACGCCGATTCGATTTCAGGTCCAAGTTTTTCTGTGGTTTCCTTGGATCACTTAGGCAAATGCTGGGGTAGTGATATTCCACAGATAATTTTTCATTCTCTAATCAACTTCGCTGCAATTGTTCCAGTAAATATACCTTCCACCCTAACTTAAACATCACTCCCTACTAATTCGAAGTGGTCTGTACTCTGTCGAAACTGTCAGACGCGGATCGCGATTTCGATCTTTTTGGATCTCATCAGCGCGTCGCAGGCAGCTCCGACAGAACACAGACCAATCTTTACCTGCTGTCTTAACAGCGCGTTTTAGAAAATATTGTACTACAGATGGCGCTCACCACGTCATTTGTGGTATTTTCTAAAACTCCCTACTAATTTAACGCGTGTACTATAGTAAGTTCTCTAATATCTGCCAGACAACTTTACACCAACTTCAAATGGTCACAATTAAGTTGCTTCTGTCGTGTGTTTTATGAAACATGATGAAATGTTTGTACAAAATACATAATTTTGAAGAAAATCGTGGATCAATCTAATTTATCGCGTTATTAAAAAAGTGATTATATTGTACTTTTTTCTTGCAATGCTATTTCATAATCAAGCAGAAAAATATAGAAAATAGGTATATTTTTTGTTTTTGGAGAGGAAATTGATTCTCGTCCTTTCCGTCATATACGAGAGGGTGTTGAGTACAACCAGATATAGAAAAATTCTAGAAACAGGTATGAAAGAGTTAACAATGACCCAGGTATTAGTGACAGAAAAATCTCAGTTATACTACCAGGAATTATTGAATTTATCACGTACATTTTGTCTGTATGACAATGAAATTATTCACAAATATTATAAAACCAAATAATAAAGGAAAGGAATTTATAACTTAAAATGTTTGAAGTTGAACTGAACAAAGAAATTTGAAATGTAAATAAAGTAATTAACAAGACTAAATCTAACTAAATGGAAAAGTTTTTGAATTAAAATAATTGTAAAAAATATAGACAATTATTAGCACTAAACACTGAGAAAGATACAATTTTTAAATCGGTATTATTCTGCATGTCAATCACTTCCATTTTAAAAAGTCTTCCAGAACTGTATCCACGTCGATATTAAATGGCGAGGAAAACATTTTCGATTCAAAGTCGATAAAATAAATTCAATTTTAGAAATGCTTGACGGGCCGCAGAAATATGTTTAAAGGACCTCAAGCGGCCCGCGGGCCGCGTGTTGTTCATCCCTGGTTTATACGATTAGTAATGTGTAAGGCATATCCTGTCACAATTACAAAATGTACCCGTTAATGCGGGTCACAGGCCACAAAGTCTAAAACGTAGGTTTCTTGATTTCAGGTGACCGTCAATCATCACCTTCGCCACCACCGTCATCGTGGTCAGCATCGTCGCGTCGTGATCAGCACACTCTTCCGCCGTCGACTACGATGCAGCACAATTCCGGGTCACCGCAGCAGTTCTGTCTGCGCTGGAACAATTACCAGACGAATTTGACGAACGTGTTCGATCAGCTGTTGCAAAGCGAGTCGTTCGTCGACGTGACGCTCGCATGCGACGGTCACTCGGTCAAGGCGCATAAAATGGTGCTGTCGGCCTGCAGCCCCTACTTTCAGTCGCTTTTCTTCGAAAATCCCTGTCAGCATCCCATCGTCATAATGCGCGACATCAAATGGCCCGAACTCAAAGCGGCCGTCGAATTTATGTACAAGGGCGAAATTAACGTGTCCCAGGAGCAGATCGGGCCGCTTCTCAAAGTTGCCGAGTCCCTCAAAATACGAGGCCTGGCCGACGTTAACGGAGAACAGGACGTTGTCAGTCCACCTGGTAAGTGAACATTCTTTTTCCTTCTCAACTACCGATCAAATACCAATAATATTAAAGCTGGGGTTAAAAAATTGATAACACTTAGGGCCATCCATAAATTACGTCACACGTCAAGGGGGTGGGAGGGGGTTGACGAAGTGTGATATTGTGTGACAAGGGGATCCTAAATTTCATATTTGAAAATTTTTAAAATCTATGTGTTAAAACACGAACTTTGTAATATTAACAAAAAAATTGATAGTAGATGTAAAAATTACAAAATATGTGACGTCACACTAGGAGGGGGAGTCTTACAAATGTGACCAGCTGTGACAAGGACGGGGGAGGGGTCAAAAAATCATGAAATTCGTGTGACGTAATTTATGGATGACTCCTTACTGTTTGAATTTAATGTCAATATTTGTTTTTAATCGTTAGTGATAGATTTGCTTATCATTATTCAACCTATTTTATTTTATTGTATTGGAAATTTCCATAATTTCAAATGCATACAAGGTACTCAAATATCTGTTGAATGTTCTTTTGCAAAAGATAATAGTCTGATTTGGTCCCAATGGTCAGGTTCTGCAAAGGTTTTCGACGCCAACCACCTTTGTGAATTTTTATATCGATGCTCTTTAATTGTATGCAGGTTACATAAATTTCATAGCTCGAGGCAGAGTCATACCTTGTTGGGGTTTTCCTCATGTTGGCTTCTAGTTCGTGTTTCTTTTGTGGCATTCCAGGTATTGGTGATGACACCAGAACAATGTTTGATTTTGTCACATAGTTTAGCGTTACTTACGTTTTGTCTTTCTTGCGTTTTTAATTCATATTTTCTTTGTTTCGTCTGTAGTTGTATTCCGTTATTTCATACTTAATAATTCATTTGTAAATAAAGTCTGTATCTATAGTGTTTTATATCGAGTTTCAATCGCTCCTTTAAAACTAACATTTCGAGAAAATGCTGCTCCGTATTTCACAGCAAACACTTACCGATTTGAGAATGACTTCTGAAAAATTTTGCATACTACTATACTTTACTTGTACTCTTTGACCATAATGGAAAGCTTCCTAGTGCGACAGCTCAATTAGGGGTTGTGTGTGATATTTTTTTAGAAACCCTAATATGATATGATACTCCTGGGGGATACTGGAAAGTTTTACCCTGCGTAACCTAACATAACACAAACGAACGTATGTTGGATAAGGCTCAAAATACTGTATTTGTTGCTAAAATGGATCGAATATACTTGGGATGTCCCCAATACATTATCTATGAGATTGGACGTATCTTCTTTCTTGTTTCCATTTGGGACTGTAGTTATTTGCTGTGTTTTGAACACACCCTTGCTAAGTTAGGAAACGTTTGATGAGGAGTACAGAGAAAGTGAAAAGGGACAATCGAATAATAGTAAGCGGTGCAGCGGTTAGACGTTGCTTAGATACGCATAAGATCAGAGTTGGCATTATAACTGCCTGGTTGGAATTATATCTTTTAAGGTAGTTGTTCCATGAAAACCGTTTTGTTAGGATTCTTTTGAAATTTTGACAGAATATTATTTAAGTTATTCTTCACCTATATGTGCAGACTGAAATTATTGGACAATATAGTTTGTGATATTTAATTTCAAAGTTCGCGTTTTTGCGGCTCTTATACATTGTACTATACAGGATACCGGCGAGGCTAACTAGAAATACAATGTTAACTTGGAATCCCTTCTTACAAATGTTTTAAAAAACTACAGAAAAGTTAAACAATGTCTAATAACTTCTTTGAAAAAAGTTTGATTAATTATTAAAACACAGTTTCTGAGATATTAATTAATAAATAACGAACAATTTATCGCACTCAAGTAGTTGAAGGGATACACGAATGAAGAGCGGTACGGGATTGCCTGGGAATAGTGCAGTAACAGCAAAAAGTTTTAGGCTTAGGTATCACGGGTACTAACTTCCTTAACAAACGTCTTGATTTCCTAAATTCTGGAGAATGTCCGGTGCTGGTAACATTCTTAAATACCCCTTGTCTGCACCTCTTTCTGTTAAACATCAATTGGTGTAATGTTACTCCTTTTTCTTTAACAGTGCCCGCTGCAATTCCCCCTGACATCTCTTTTCAGTGTTGACGATATTCCCTCTAACGTTTGTCGTGAGTAAAAAAGGGCGTTCTGTTCGTAATCGCCCTAATCTAGTTAGCAAGTTGAAAGAAGAAAGTAAAAGGGACAATTTTATAGCGGTCTGTCCCAACTATATCAACTTCTCTATGGACTGGGAGTGGCATATCACTCGAAAAGTGAAATCGAATCCAATTGTGAAGATTAGCATGCCCTACTCCTGGATGAATTTTATTTCCGAACATTTGCTTATGGTATTTTAAGTTGTTTCTAAATCAAATTAATTTTTTAATTGTACATTCTTCTAAAGCAGGTTGCGGTTTGTGAAGCAGCTCATTTTTCGATTTGTAAAACCCAGTATTGTAGGAGTATTAAATTAAACTGTAGAATTTTAATCAGCTTTCTAACGACCATTGTAAATTCTAAAGTTACATCTCGTATTATAGTTTGTTTCCGATCAGAGTCGTGTTGTATCTTTATTTTACAATCTTTCGGTGTATCAAGTTACACCCGCATTATTATGGCTAGTCGATTCCTCCAATCATTTTTCTCTACATAAATTTTACTGCTGATTGTAAATCGTACAATCTCATTTCCTCTCTCCCCAACCTCAACTTGACTCGGCTTGTTAAATTCTTTTTAAATGTTACGATATGATCTGGTTTTTAATGTGAGTTGACACAGATTAATAATCTATCCAATGACCATGCAAAAAAGTGTTAATGAAACAAATCCTTATGTATTTTTACGAATATTTAAATGCTAATGAGTGTCGTAACCAGCTGGAGGTACCAGTCTTTTCAGGACCGGATTTGTAGGTGTGGGGCTCCTGGGGCGTTATTATCCAGACCTCAGATAAATCAAAACGCATGCAAATTAAACGTTTTTTACTTTAATAAAGTGTTAGATTTTGTTATGATAACGACAAAAAGACAACATTAATTACATTAAGATATTTAAATGCCACCTACAGTTATGGCGAAAACAGACGGACTGCTTGGTTGTTTTAAATCAAAAGTCGTTTAGCCCTTATGGTTTCGGAAGAATGCAATCAGATGCCTCTGTCGTGTACAGTTGGCAGTCGCCACTGATATTGGCGTCCATTTTGTGGCACGGACCTTTTCACACGTGTAGCAATAAGTAGACTTTCCTCATCTCAGTCCATATTGTTTTTCCATCTGATGTAAAACTACTCCGGACCGCAACAATGTGACTAGTACAAACAGCTAGTGGCATCTTTCCGTGGCGCGACCAAATAGTGTCTGTTTTCGCCCCTTATACTTATCATACAGACTATCCACTGCCTACTTTGTTACAGGTGAAATACTGGGAAAAGCAAAGACATCGACGGCTAGCGGTCTTGAATGGGAAGCCCGTCAGGACGGCAGCGTCGATACGGGGGCGCCTCGCGTTAAGAAACGACGCCGTCCTTCGGGCGAGCGTTCCAGTCTCAGTAGTCCGGCGGAGAGCGCAGGCGCGGCAGATGTGCCTGAAGCTCCCCCGTCTGTCGAAATGAGCCCTGCACCCCCCGTCACGCCACTGTCGTCCACTACGGCCCCACCCGAGCCGCTACCCCTCACGCTACCGCTGACGTCACAACAACCCATTACCCAAGGACACAATGTTCCTCCAAATGCTGCCGCATCAGACGATATGGAGATAAAACCGGGAATCGCGGAAATGATACGGGAGGAAGAAAGGGTGAGTGTCTGTTTATTAGTCCCTTTTTTGCGCCAACATTTATACGTATGATTTAATTTTAATGTGCTCATTTTTGTTGGTCGCAAGACGCTAAGAAATATACCAGATGCTTCTCTCCAAAAGAAATAATAACGATAATAATAAAATGCAGATGGGGGCAGATGCAGTTCCTCGGGCCTCGGTCCTATTATTCTTGTAGCAAACTGACTGGCAGCTTGCAAACAATCGATGTTTATTTGAATAAGAAAGATGGGCCCGTGTCGCATTTTAACTCTGGCGTGGATATATTTTTTTTGTCGACGGCAGACAATGTTATTTATTTATAAAGATTTACCGTGGACAATTCATATACCATAAAATGTCTTTAATAATGGTGACTTCAAAAGAAGTAAGTTTTATTTTCGTTTGCTTTTAACGATAGGACGCACAAAAAAGTCGATAGATTTTAAAATCATTAATATAAAGTAAAAACAAAAATACATACGTACGCCTGTCCGAGGCCGGCCCTGGGCGTGAATTGGCAACGTATAGATAAATTGCGATAACAAGTAATAAAGCAAATATTAACAGTTCACTACTCATTAGAGGCCCATTGCGCTAAGAATTAATTAAATAACTACTTTGTTCATCTTTAATAGTATGCAGTACCACATGGTATTAAGAACGCAAAAGAAATACTCTTACAAAACGAGTACTGCAGCTGGTGGAATGTCACGTTGCAATGTCATATTTTCCTGTGTGATTCTAGCAGGGCCGCACTGGCTATGATTGAAAAAATATATTCCAAATTATGCATTTTTGATGAGGAGGCGCAAAAACTAAAAGAAATGTAGAATTTCTCATTTCGATGGTCATTTGCCTTACTTGTATACATAAAACAGTTTTTTCCCTTCTGTATACCTTAACCAATATCAAAGACTTCTAGTTATTGGGGTAGGAGGGGGACAATTTACATGAGTATAATTGTGTGTTTGTTATATTTGACAACTTGGCCATAGGCTAATAAACCTCGAAGTCTCGGGAACGTAGTATCGATTGAAGATACTAGTCACAGTTGCGCCATGAAACGTCTGGACTTAATCGTTCTGTTCGAATATGAATCGTAATTCTATTGTTTTTAATGACATTTTTTAATATTAAGAGTAGTTAATATGAATTATTAATGTCAATGTTCATTTTTAATTTTCCGTCTACTACAAACTATCTGAGGTTAATGATAGAAAATTTTTGTTGCTGTCGTCACACCCTCGCCGTGAATCGAACCCGGGGACCTTTGGCTTTACGCACCAATGCTCTAACCACTAAGCTACGAGAGGTGACAACAAATATGGTGTTTCATATGTTTAGTATATATAATTACATTAGTCAAAAATCAACGAATCTGTAACCTTGTAGACTCGGTTTGTCGTGGTTGCTGTTATTATCTCTGTAGCTTAGTGGTAAGAACATTGGTTCGTAAAGCCAAATTTCTCGGGTTGTTCGATTCCCGACGAGGGTGTGACACCAACAACAAAAATTTTCTTTCATTAACCTAAGGTAGTTTGTAGTGGATGGAAAATTGAGAATGAATTTTCACATTAATATTTCTATTGTTTTTAGTTTTGATTCAGCGCCTCGCTTTTATAAATATGTATCCGATACTATATGTATAGTCAGTGTAGTGCGTAATTTACTTTTATTGGTATACATATATTTGTGTATATGTATATTTGAACGATCCTACCAAACTTGTCCGGACTTGGACCGGTAGCAACGAAATTGCTCCCCCACAGCGAATTGTGACACCAGATGTTAATTATTCGGGTGAACACGTACCAACCACAGGCGCACTTTTCTTTCAGGCAGATTTGGAAGTGTTGGATTCGTTATGTCGATAGGCCTTCACGCTCAACATGAACCGTTTTAATACATGGTTTATTTTGAATTACAATAAAAGATACAGTAATAATAATAATGTTAAAGCGTAGGCTTGATTGTTTGTTTATTCATCTCTCAGATAGCCATGCACGAGACAGTCTATGATTACACTTTTTGTTAAAGATTGTAAAAAACAACAAAAGATGCGTGAAATAGAAAATACTACAAATGGCGCGGTAAACGCCATCTGTAGTACGATGCTACATTTTAGGATTATGTATGCTCCAACAAGGTCCATTTTAAATATATGGATATCTACTTGCTGAAAACGGATCCCGGCGTAGCCAACCTCAACGTGATAGGCACGTTAGCTTACTCGAATAAAATAATTCGAAGAGGTCTGTATTCTGTCGAAACTGCCAGACTCGGGTCGCGATTTCGATCTTTTTGGATCTCATCAGCGCGTCGCAGGCAGTTCCGACAGAACACAGACCAACTTTTACCTGCTATCTTAACAGCGCGATTTAGAAAATACTACAAATGCCACACTAAACGCCATCTGTAGCACGATGCTACATTTTATTTTATTTGATGCGTGAAATGCCGTAGAAACGATAGATTTAAACTTAAAAGACCTAGTTTTTTTTTCAAATTTCTTCCAACACCATATAATCGATTTGTGTGATCATGAAGATACAAAAAAGCATTTAGTAGTAGTAGTACTTTGCAACCAGCAGACTATTAAAAGTCTAATTAAAAATTAAAATTTTTTTAGACCTACTGTCATTGTATTTGTTTAGTTGGAACCTTTAATTAAATATGAGCGATTTTAACGTGTTCCAGTTGGACGTAAACAATTACAAAAAAATGGGTTGATCTAACTAAATATCTATATTCGGGTGTATAGTACACATTGGTTCATTAAATTTGGACGGGTTACGCCCAGTGTAATAATAATAATATAGAGAAATATAAGAGAGCTACCTATATAGGTATACTGTGCCTACGTGTGCAATAGCACGTATGATTTAATTTTAATGTGCTCATTTTTGTTGGTCGCAAGACGCTAAGAAATATACCAGATGCTTCTCTCCAAAAGAAATAATAACGATAATAATAAAATGCAGATGGGGGCAGATGCAGTTCCTCGGGCCTCGGTCCTATTATTCTTGTAGCAAACTGACTGGCAGCTTGCAAACAATCGATGTTTATTTGAATAAGAAAGATGGGCCCGTGTCGCATTTTAACTCTGGCGTGGATATATTTTTTTTGTCGACGGCAGACAATGTTATTTATTTATAAAGATTTACCGTGGACAATTCATATACCATAAAATGTCTTTAATAATGGTGACTTCAAAAGAAGTAAGTTTTATTTTCGTTTGCTTTTAACGATAGGACGCACAAAAAAGTCGATAGATTTTAAAATCATTAATATAAAGTAAAAACAAAAATACATACGTACGCCTGTCCGAGGCCGGCCCTGGGCGTGAATTGGCAACGTATAGATAAATTGCGATAACAAGTAATAAAGCAAATATTAACAGTTCACTACTCATTAGAGGCCCATTGCGCTAAGAATTAATTAAATAACTACTTTGTTCATCTTTAATAGTATGCAGTACCACATGGTATTAAGAACGCAAAAGAAATACTCTTACAAAACGAGTACTGCAGCTGGTGGAATGTCACGTTGCAATGTCATATTTTCCTGTGTGATTCTAGCAGGGCCGCACTGGCTATGATTGAAAAAATATATTCCAAATTATGCATTTTTGATGAGGAGGCGCAAAAACTAAAAGAAATGTAGAATTTCTCATTTCGATGGTCATTTGCCTTACTTGTATACATAAAACAGTTTTTTCCCTTCTGTATACCTTAACCAATATCAAAGACTTCTAGTTATTGGGGTAGGAGGGGGACAATTTACATGAGTATAATTGTGTGTTTGTTATATTTGACAACTTGGCCATAGGCTAATAAACCTCGAAGTCTCGGGAACGTAGTATCGATTGAAGATACTAGTCACAGTTGCGCCATGAAACGTCTGGACTTAATCGTTCTGTTCGAATATGAATCGTAATTCTATTGTTTTTAATGACATTTTTTAATATTAAGNGTGAGGACGGAAGGAGTAGTAGGGATATAAAGCAGAGGATAGCGCAGGGTCGAGTTGCCTTTAATAAAAAGAAGTCACTTCTATGCTCGCGAACGGTTAATTTAGAAATTCGAAAAAGGTTTTATAAAGGTGTATGTTTGGAGCACGGCGTTGTACGGGTGCGAAACATGGACGGTGGGCGCAGCGGAAAAGAAAAGGCTTGAAGCGTTCGAAATGTGATGTTACAGGCGAATGATGAGGATACCGGTGATAGAGAAGGTTAGATATGAAGAGGTATTAGAAAGAATAGGAGAACAGAGGACTCTATAGAAGTCAATAAGAAATAGGCGAGATAGGATAGTAGGACACCTTCTCAAGCATGATGGTCTAGTCAGAGACACATTAGAGGCAGAAACGGAAGTTAGGAGGGGTAGAGGTAGACCTAGATTAGATTGCTGTTATGTAGTTAAGTTATATAGTTAAGGATAAGGGTTCTTCTAGTTTTAGGGAAGATTAGCTCAGGATAAGAAAGAGTAGAGGTGCTTGTTCAACCAGTCATAGAACTGACGACTTTAAGATGATGAAATAATATAAATAATCCCCTTTATTAGAGTGTAAGGCGTTGTGTTTGAGTTATAAGTATCTAAATGGATTTGTATTTATAGTAGGGACACGACCAAAATTGGCAAAGTCCTTTATAAATTATCTGAGAGAATGGATGTATCTTCTTTCTTGTTTCCACTTGGGACTGTAGTCTGCTTTTTGAACATGCCCTTGTTAAGTTAGGAAATGCTTCATGAGTAGTACAAAGTGAGAAAAGTTAACTGAATAATAGTTAGTGGTGCAGCGATTAGAGATTGTTACATTTCTGAGATTCTCATATATTTTTTCAATTGATCAGGAGTTATTCCTGACCAATGTCAACATTCTTTCAAGCGTGGATGTCAAAAAAGTTTCTATCGGGCAGTCTGCCAATTTTTTATTCTACGTTGTTTTTATGTTTTAAACGTCAATAAATAACGATAGACATTTACTGTGAAGTATTT